GAGTTGTTACATTTCCTAATTTTTACACTGGTGTTAAGCTTCTTACTGGTGTTTCCATGTATCTATCATTGCTGCTTGAGAAGACACTGGATCCCAAAATCCATATGTAGTTTTGGGGAACGTTACACAGCAATCTAATAGCAGAAATAGTAATAGGGAGGATTGTATGATGGACTATACATCACTTTTATCAATGGCCAGCTTGTGAAGCTCAATGTGGGAAGCACAGGACATTGTTTTTCTTCTTCCCCCTTTCCTCTCCACTAGGAGGAAATTAACTCTGCCTAGATCAATACTCAGGGGTATTTGGGAGATATTGGGGGAGAGGGGTAAGGGAGAGCCTTAAATCCTTTCCCCAGAATGCCATATTTCAACTCTTGGGTCTGATGGAAAATCTTGCAAACTTTTCTCCTGCAAATCTGGGCATTTCTAGCATCTCGTCCACAAGGACTCATTCCCTACCAGCAAAGGTGCACCTCCGCTGCCTACAGGAACTCCTTCAGCCATTTGCTCAGGAGCTCCAGAATCCCTTTCTTAGCTGATTCCTCTAGAGGGCCTCTTAGCCATGTCTGCCACAAGTTTGCTCTTCTCTAAGAAAAGAAAAAAGACATTAAAGTGTTAGAACCTCCTTTCCTTTTGTGCAAGCACCGGGCTATTCCAATGTGGCTATTCATCCAGTCCCAGAACTTCCTGCAAATATCTTAAGCCCCCCCATACCTATGACACAATTAGTTTGCTCTCATTTCAAGTGGACCTAAAAGCATTTTGAGATACAAGAAACTTCATACCTTGTTCAGTGATCATGGTAGGGAGACAGCAAGTTGGTGGGCTATAAATGTCCTTCAGGCTGCCCAAAGATTATAGTTGTTGTTGGGATTCTGCTTTACATGAAAATTTCTTCACAAAGTGGACCAGTGGATTATTACATCTGGATAGTTAAAGTGTCCATTGTGTAAAGTGTTTCTTATGTCCTTGCTTTATGCTTTAGTTTGCTGGACTGGTTTGCTTCTTCTTTTTCCCCTTTACAGGTTCAAACCACGACGATGTGCATCTCAGTTAGCCTAAGTGGCACAGTAGTTCTTGGCTGCCTCTTTACTCCCAAGCTGCATATCATTCTGTTCCAGCCCCAGAAAAATGTAGTCAGTCATCGTGTTTCCACCAACCGATTCAGTGTGACAGCTGCAGGCTCCAGCCACTCGCAGGGTGAGTGTGTGAGAGTGTCATTATAAGCAATGATCACCACCTTATATTTATCTGCAATGTGACTGACAGCAAAGATTTTCCTTACTCGGTGTACTCAGTGGATTAGTTTGTCTCCAGTAGCAATTTATTCTGACTGTTGCATGGCTGAATTGTTTTTAATCTACTGTGTTTTAAACATCTGGGAGTTCATGTAGATGTTAGCATAGAGCAAAGGGCACCATTCTGAAAAGCAACAAATGTTTCTGGGAAATTACAAAAATAACTGCTGTTAGTTGTTGGTTTTGTCAGCCGTGGCTACATTTATACATAATGCAAAACTATAAATCTGGTAGGATGAAGACAAGTTGCAGTACCTCTCCTTCTCCTCCTCTGAAGAAGGATTTTCTTTTCTTGCTTTCAGTTTTGACTAACCCAATTGGTCTTAATCTCTGATGAACTGAGGCTTAAATATGCTGGGTGGAAACCTAGAAATAGTTCATAAAGCTGGCCTGTTTTCACTAACTGTAGTTAGATTAATCACTGTTTTAGATTTGGGCATAATTTGGAAGTTTCCAGTCTCCCTCTATTAACTGTGATGGAGACAAAATGATCATTTGTGCATCTGCAGCTTATACCAGTTTAAATAGTCAATATGACAACAGTATCAGCCAATGTACCAGCTTCCTCCCACACCGACACCAAACAGCACCAGTTCAATCGGAGCAACATAAAAATCATTGGTCATGCTACCACCAGGCGTGCTCCTGAGTTCATCAAAGTCTGACGCTTCCATCAACAGACACCCCAGCTTACATACAAACCCCTAAGAATCCAAATCAACTGCACACCAACCAGAGACAGCACCGACCACCAATCAGTCCACCCAATACCCCCTCCACCAGCAATTCACTTCGCAATGACCCTGATCTAATGTAACCTCCCTATCACAAGACTCCCACTGATGGCTCACACTTGACCTATCACAAGACCCTTCCTTGACATATACACACATGAAGCCCTTATAAACAGAAGAACATTGACACTGAAATCTCCTGAATTCCACTGAAGATGCTACCTAGACTGGTAGCAAAATGTTCGGAAACCAACCCACAAGCTCAGAGAATGAACCTTCGTCCTCAACATCAGCCAATGTTGCTAAGGACGTTTGTTAAATGTCTTATCTGATAAAGTTATTCCATTTTCCCACAAACTAGTTTACTGAGAACTCTCTTTGTATTTGAATATCATATAACAATTAATATACCATATGATTTATATAAAGCATAACCACCATAGAAAAAGTCTGAAAAGAACCAGGTATATAGAGGGTATATGAAGGAAGGTACATGAGGATGAAGAAGGA